TGGAACTATGGTATGGGTGGGTGGGTGGACGGATGGTGGAGGCCACCAACAATGTGTGTATTTGTTAAAATATGACTTGCATTGGTAGACTGTATTGGCAGATGAATCAGTGGACCTTTTGAATCTGTGAGACAAACTAACCTAGCCCTGCCTTCTCTAACCTGATTGCCTGCGTTGGGTTACAGTTCTTTTCATCACCAGCCATTAGCCATGCTGGAAGGAGATGATGGGGGTTTGTGACCCAAGATATATAGGGTGACCAACATGGTGAGGAAAGCTGGACTAGTGAGATAGTACAGCAACCATTTTGGCAAAACAAAAGCAGGACATCCAAAATGACAACATCTCTTCCTTCTTAGAAACATCTCCTGATAGCTTGGACCCAAGCCATTTAGGGCTTTATAGGTTAGAACCAGCACTTTAAATTGCACGCAGAAATGGGCTGGCATTGTAAATCCTCTTGGAAATATGGTATGGGTGGGTGGACGGACGGTGGAGGCCACCAACGATGTGTGTATTTGTTAAAATATGACTTGCATTGGTAGACTGTATTGGCAGATGAATCAGTGGATGTTACAGTAATGGTGATGTCATCTGCCCGTCATTGCTATGGTTGTTTGTCATCTGCCAATAGCGTGACGGGAGGTGGGACATAAGAGGGTGGAGCTAGGGTATTTAAGGGGGCGTGAATGAGGTGTGAGTCAGATAGGGACTTGATAGGGTCTGGTTAGGGACTTAGGGAGTTAGGGCTTGTACATGTTGTGTAGTACTGTGCTATATATATAGAGTGAACGTCTGAGAGAGAGTATGTGTGTGGGTACTTCATTATACTGATTGCCTTTTATTTTAATTATTATAGTGATTTACCATACCTTTTGTTATTATCAATAAACATAAGTTTTTATTCTAAAAATCATACTTTTGTCTGAAGAGTTTTATGAGGGAATGGTTGGTGGCAGCGTGAATAAAGTGAGGGTGTGAGTGAGAGTGACGTGGCAACTCCTTTGTGACGTCAGAGGAGGCTGTCACAGTGGACCTTTTGAATCTGTGAGACAAACTAACCTAGCCCTGCCTTCTCTAACCTGATTGCCTGCGTTGGGTTACAGTTCTCTCCATCACCAGCCATTAGCCATGCTGGAAGGAGATGATGGGGGTTTGTGACCCAAGATATATAGGGTGACCAACATGGTGAGGAAAGCTGGACTAGTGAGATAGTACAGCAACCATTTTGGCAAAACAAAAGCAGGACATCCAAAATGACAACATCTCTTCCTTCTTAGAAACATCTCCTTATCTCACCTCAAGCCAGACGTGGCTGTCCACTGTAGCTGCTTCCACCAGCAACAAGAGACAGCTGGTATTCTTCTCTGTGGAACCTTTCCAATTACAGTGGCCTTAATAAAGTCTGGATTGAACTTTCCTGACCTCATCTTCTGAAAGGCCTGTGGCTTCTCCGTATTCCTGAGGTTTGCACACAGTATTCGAAACTGAGCCAAGGCATCTAGAGACTGTCCAGAATCAATATTTTTCCACCTTTTGTTTTGGATTCATTAGGTGTCCCCTCCCTTTGTCACCAAACACTGCAGACAGGCACATAAGCTGTATTTTTTGAAAGCTCAGCTCTTCTACAGGAAGTTGGTTTTCTTCTCACCGAAGGCTGGCTGCCATGTTTGACTCTGGAAAGACATCTGCCTCTGCCTCCGTTACACAAATATTATCTGACCTAGAAGTATGTGTTCTCCTTACAGCTTTGTTATTCAGTCCTTGATGGGACTACGTTATTTCCATCAGAACCGCAACGGATAATTGTAAGGGGGCAGTAGGAAAGCCAGAAGAGAGGAAAGGACAGGACTTTTTCACAAAGGGGTGTCCATTTTAAACATTTGGTGTCAAGACAAGGCAGACTTTATGACCTTCTAAATTCAAAAAAGTTGATGCCATGACACTGAACACTGGCAGGTGGTGTCAAGACAAGGCAGACTTTATGACCTAAATTCAAAAAAGTTGATGCCATGGCACTGAACACTGGCAGGGCCCATTGACATGATCTGTCACAGATAATGGCGGACAAACAAATAAGGGTGGCACAGAGTGATGTCAAGTTTGGTAGTATTGGATAATTGGTCATGCCCCCACCTCAGCTGGAAACCTGCTTCTTAAAATTCCGTCACATGACCACCTGCCCCTCCTACTGCTCTTCCTCTTCACTCTGGCTGCGTCGCTTCATCTGGACCCTCTATGCAAGTGATGAGTGATAGGAGCAAGGAGAAGACATGACAGTCTTACACAGTGGCATAGAGGCAAATGTGGATTCTCACTGTGAGAATCCCCATTGCCATCCTTCCCCATAGGGAAAGTCCAAAACTGCAAGCAGCTGGATCTGTCTCTAACAACCCATTCAAGACCAAACTGCTCTCAAAGCTTGTGTTAGAATAGAATCAGAAAATAATTGAGTCTCAAGGGGCCTAAAAGGCCATTGAATCCAACCCCCTGTTCAATGCAGGAATACAAATCAAAGGATACCTGCCAGATGGTTATTCTAATTTTTTTTTGTCTTGAATGCCTCCAGTGTTGGAGCACTCACCACGTCTTGAGGTCATCGGTTCCATTGTCCTACGGCTCTAACCGCTGAGAGGTTTTTCCCTGATATTCAGCCTACATCTGGCTTTCTGTAGCTGGAGCCCATTATCTCAAAAGGAGTAGCTTGCAACAATATGGTGTTCCTGGGGAAATTGATTTCCCTCCCAGATACTGCAGGATTGTACCTATGGTTAGAAGGAACAGGAAACCTGAGGGTGTGGCAGATGATGTCGTAGCCCCTGCTACTAAGAAAGTCCTGAGGTATTGACTTTGCAAGCCCAAGATCCATGTCACCACTAGTCTTAGGTTCCCTTGCCTCAGCCTCTAGGTGGCTGTATGGAGTGAGCCCAACAGAAGAGCACAAGTGTCTGGCTGAAGACAAGAGATGGACATTTAGAGGAGCTGACTGTAGAATTATTTTAGTGGCAAAAATAGGCAGGGAAATAATGGAAGGACTTAGCTCAGGGTGGAAAGACCTTATCCATACACCAGGCCTACCTACTGATACACAACAGGTCTATCTTTTGGGAAGCCATGGAGGGATACAGCAGTTGTGTATGTTTGTTTGTTGGGGTAGTGTTGACCGAGACCGACCTGGTGCTCCAGCCTTTCAGTTCCTCTGTCACCAGCTCTGCCGGTAGTGGTGGAGGTACAACAGTCTACCCCTTAAGAAGCAATGGCCATGAAACAGCTATTCCTCCTGAGCCATTGGCCAGTCTTCTTTTTTAGACAGGGGGCGTTGGAGCACATCTAACATTACTCCATTGATCTCCTCACAGCAACTCTGTGAGGTAAGTTAGGTTCAGAGTACAATTCCAATTCCTTTATTACAATCAACAGATCAGACAAAAACCAGTAACAGAACTATGCAACATTGGGAATTACTAAAAATAAATTAAATATGCATTACATGTGATTAACTCTTAAAAATAGAGATTTCATAAAATAGTCATTATCGATTTTTAATGGCAACAGGGAGAATGTTGCCGATCAGGAATTTGAACCCAGGTCCAAGTCCAGCACCTTAACCACTATACCATTTCTAGCTGTCCTTTTATTTGCACAGCCTATCAGGAAGTTACTGAGTAAAACACAGGATTTTACTCTAGATCAGAGTGGGAAAAGCACGCCCCTCTGCTTTCTGTTGGATTTCCACTCCCATCAGGTCCCAGATTGGCAATGCTGAGGAACGCTGGGGGTTGCAGTCCGAACAACATTTTCAGGGCTACTCAGAACAGATTGAACAAAAAATACAAAACCGTTTTAAATTTGTTTTTAACATAGTTCCTCTAGAATCCAAGAGGACTTAGAAGTTGCAGGACCTGCGGGTCTATGATGGTCCACTTCTGCTTGTTCTCTTCTCTTCTTTTTCCAACTCAAAGCATTCTATTTTTTATTATTATTCACAGTCCAAAGAAAATTATATGCAAAGTGTAACACATCCTCTGGTAAGTGCTTTAACAAACAATAGGAAGTGAAGCAGTCTTTCAGCATCCTACCAGTGCTTCTGCTACCCACAGGAAGCAGGTTGTTGGGAATTTTTTCCCAGCTTCTAGATGGAAAGACCAATAAATCAAAGGATATTTTTTAAAAAATAAAAATTTATTTACAAATATACATAGTATACATAGTAATACACACACAAGCCAAATCACAATATTGCCATATATTTATCGGTGGTGGGGGAGAGATGGGACGACTCCACTCACACACAAGTTTGACTTAAAAACTTTTAAAACTTTAAAAGTTTAACTCTGAAACTTCACCTCATTAGTATTATTATTTAAATTCTAATATCAATTTTTATTTCATCAGCCTTAAGCATTCACCTTTGGGTTGGTACCCATATCTACAAACAGAATAAAAGCAATCAACTTATTTATAAACTATAAACTCATCAGTGTCTCCTGGATTACTCTTACTTCAGGTGTTAACTTCTCAGTAAGAGCTAACCTCCATACACTTTCGTACCAAGTGTTGTTCGATCAGGTTGCATTAACCTTCTATCTTTTGACTATTTCCATTCTAGTAACTATTAATAAGAGAAAAAAAAATCAAATCCTTATGTGGAACAGTCTTGTTTTCATTTGTAAAAATATTTAAAAGTGCTAATTCTGGTGTCAAAATTAATTAAATGTTATTATTTGACATTCTCATATTACTGCTTCCCAAGATTTTGCTACTAAAGAGCAAAACCACCATATATGTATATATGAGTCTCTTTCTCCACATCCTTTCCAATATTCTATATTAGTTGTTTTTTCAATGCAAGCTAATTTTATAGGAATTAAATACCACTGTTGGGTTTCTTCCTACTGGAAACAGTAATATCTAGATATTTAATATGCTTACAATAAATCCAAAGCCCATTGCTAATTTTTGTTGTATCTTTTCATTTGAAACATGTTTCAGATTATGTAGTGCTGATTTTTACACCTGCCATTGGTCCATATTTCTAAAGTTCAGACTGCAACTCTAGAATTGTCTCTTTAGGATTCAGAAGAAATGGAGCCAAGTCATCTCCAAATAAACTAATTATATAGTCTGTTGGTCCTGCTTAAATTCCCTTGATCACTGGATTTAAATATATCGCAGTTGCTAAGGCAATGGCAAATAAAAGGAGTGACAATGGGTATCCCTGCCTCATTCTTCACTCCAGTTATCTTTGTTTTATATTTCTTTATTCTAATAGAGGCAAGTGAGTCGCTGTATAATTGGCTAATTACTTGGTGAAACACAGCACCAATGTTCATATTAATCAATAATTATTCCGAGAAAGACCATTCTAACCTGTCGAAAGCTTTACATGCATTTAAAGAAAGCATGGTCAAGAATATTTTCTTAGTTTTACACTAGTGGACAACATGTAGCATGCATCTAATCGCATCTGCTATTTGTCTGTTGACCGTAACTTTGAATTAACTTTGAATCTTGATTGACTACAGTTATAGGATGGTACCGTTGGCATCTTTTACATCCTGGGATTAAATACTATATACTGTATGTTATTCCCAGAGACATAAATCATATTCAAGATTGGATCACAGTTTGGTTATACTTATGAGTGCTCAAAATACTGTAGGGGCTAAGATGGAGAGGATCTTAATTTCAGTGCAAATAATGCTGCAGGTTCATCAGTCCCATTCATTAATTATTCTGTGGGGTCTAAATGAATGACTGCTGCAATTACAACTATGTATAAGGAAAATTGAATATGAAACTGAACTTTTCTACTAAACAGTACATTGACAGGATTATCTCTAGCATTTCTTTGGAACACTTTCAAAGCAATATTGAGAGCGGTGTGCATTAGTCTAGCTGATGCTAGCAAACTAAGCAAATTAACACAAAATGCCTTATTGAAAGATATCACTAAGTCAGAAAAAGAACAAAAAAATCAATTGAGGCTAAGAATTATAGGATCTTACTTCAGAAAAGAGAAGAGCGGGATGCGTTGGAAACATACAAAATTTCATATAATTTGCTTTCTGTACAGCAAAAATGTTATGAGATTGGAAATAAAGCCTCACGTTTTTAGCATCTAGATTGGAAAAAAATAAAAAGATAACAAAGCAAAGGAAATGTTGAAGAACTCATAGGATCCCATACTGGATGGAATCTCTACTGTGTGTTTTGTATATAACTACCATTTCACCCCCAATGTTCTTGTAGTGGCATAAAAAAATAAGCCACTTTCCCCACTGCACGTTGGAAAACTACATATTTTGGGGTTAGTTTTTGAAATGAATGATGCCACCTAAGAGTATGGTTTTTGTGAAACACTGTTCCTCGAGGATGGCAGTAGTTTTCTTCAACTGAACTGCAGTCAAAGTCTATGATGCCCTGATTTTTGAAAACAACGGTGTAGAGGAAAGAGTGTCATTTACACCAATGTCCAGCACACTCAAGATGCTTCTCAATTCACTGCTGGATAAGGTGCCCTTGATGTACAAGAGAGCAGACAGATGTTTCTTGCTGTAAAAGAGGAAAACACTTCATGTCAGGAATATTACAAAAACACGAAGAAAGAGATGACGAAATAAGATGACAGAAAGCAAATTTGGTCATCACAAGCCTTAAATTATTCCCTTTGATTTTGCTTGAATGGAGGATCAACACATTCAGCAAGTATACAAAAGCAGTAGAGGGGACTAGTAGGACGAAGGGATTCCCTCTGTTCTGTTTCTAAACCTACACATACATTGTTCTCTTAGGCTTTTTTCCTTCAACCCTCTCCCAAAGTTACTTCCTGTCAGCAACAGACAAACAAGCAGGGAAACCCACTCTGGAAGGTTAGGTAAATAAGTTTAGTGATTCTTTTCTTTCCACGCTATCCTAAAAGGAATTTCCTAAATAACAAGCAGGAGGTTTTCCTTTTGCCTTCCATTTCCCATAGTACAGTGGTGTCTTGCTTTATGATTGCCTTGCATTACGACAAAACCGCTTAACAACGATCTTTTTGCAATCACAATTGCGATCGCAAAATGATGGTCTGAATGGGAACCAATTCTCCATCAAAATGGCCACCGGGTAATTAAAATGCCTCCCTGCTGTGTTTAGGGACGGATTCCTCACTATACAGGCAGCGAAAATCGCCGCCGTATGGAGGATCTTCGTTGGACGACGAGTTTTTACCCCATTGGAATGCACTGAACGGGTTTCAATGCATTTCAATGGGGTTTTTATTTTCGCTTTACGATGTTTTTGCTTAATGGCGATTTTCCTGGAACGGATTATCGTCGTTAAGCAAGGCACCACTGTAGTTATGACTACAGAGATGTGCAAGAAATGCCCAAAGCAAGTACAGATGTACATTGAAAAGTGTTGTTACACGGCTCTCTGACTGCAATACTTGCAGAGAGCTCAAGGATAAAGGAAACAGGTACTTCTTGTTGAGGGAGTTTAGCTCTAGCACCGCAATGTCGTCATGAAAGCACTTTTATTTCCCGTGACTAATGTTGCCAGTAATAACCTAGAGGACTCGCAGCAATCAGTACCTCTTAATATGTCAGTTAAGGATGACTGGAATTGTAACTTACAATAGCAATTCCTTGCAAAATGCTATGTGTGGAATGTCTTTCCCATAAACAGAATTAGGTGATTAGAACTTCAGTCATGGCTGGGTTGTACCTCCACTTCCCACTCCAATGAAAGAACACAGTGTGTGCACAGAAAAGCTGGAAGTCTACAGTGGAGCACTACTCTTAATCAGACATTGTGTCAAACCCTATATAACAGTTTTGTCTGCCTGGTGCCTTGATCTGCCAGCTGAGTTGCAGTGTTAGAGTGCGCCGCACTCTGTGTATCACATGGTATAGATAGTGGCACATTGACTTAAGTCTAGTGCACCACCAGCAGTAGCTTCATGCTTTCTAGTCACCTGATGCTGATGGGTTTTTCCTCTTACCTAATGTCGGGATAGTTGTTAACAAGTACACCAACTTCAAACATAATTGCGCTCATATCTTGGAGCTTGATAATTTCGGCTAGGCTTGGGAGTGCAGAATTCAGCCAGGTAGCACTGGACCCCTACCAAGACAAAAACAATGAGATTAAACCATTCAGCAGGCAAATCCATGAAAATTCTCCATCCCTCCACAAATCCACATGCTTTGTGTGTGCAGATGGTCTTTCTAGGTAAAAGGCGCATATAGCAGATGGCAAGCAAGAACTTTGCCATACATCACTGTAGATACCCTAGATGGACTACCATATTTTTCTGTGTATAAGACGCCCCCCTTTTCTAATCCGAAATTAAGAAATCTAAGTGGGGCTTAGCAAGTGTTGGGGGAAAGGGATAAAAGCGCTGCAGAATCGCTTTGATCCCTGCTTTCCCCTCCACTTGTTTTTGTTCTCTCCTCAGCTTACTTCCATGTATAAGACGACCCTCAATTTTTAGTCTAAAGATTTTAGACAAAAGTATAGTCTTATACACAGAAAAATATGGTAAATAATCTGATTCATTGCAAGGCAGATTTTGTAGACATTAATTTTCTGGATTGTATTCCAGGAATCTTCCTGCCCACCATGGCCATGTTCAGGAAGTTTGGGGAGTTATAATTTAAATGTTTGTTAAAAGCAGACTCAGAGTCAGATCACACAGGTAGGGAAAAATGTGTCAGTCTGTGCTAGCATGTCAGGCAAAAACAAAACAAAACAAAACAAAATACAGAAGACAAAAACGTTGTGGCATCTGGAAGATTAACTGCTGTATTTAAATGTGAGCTTTCGTGAACAAGTCCACCCCTTCAGACTTGTCCACAAAAGCTCACATTAAAATATAAAGGTTAAATCCTTGAGGTGGCACAACATTTTTGATTTTTAATTATTTTTTAAAAAAATTTTGATTTGGTTTTGCCTGATAAATTAGGGGAAAATGTATTTCTTCCTCTTACAGTGTTATCCCTTCTGCCACACATATGTTCTAGAGCTGCATGCCTCAGAAGTCAGGCATGAAAATAAAGCCTTGCTAACCTTTCAATGGCCAAATGCAAAACAAAAAAAGCAGACTAATTCACCAAATAGAAATTGAGGCACATTCTAGTTGGAAGAAACAGGCATGCTTTTCCTCTTAAGGGAGTTCTGCTTCTAATGATATGTGGACTGTCTATTGTGGCCCTCATACCTCAGTGTCCCTCAATTAATTTTTAATTGCAAATAGTTTACAAAGCAGTGATTTGCATGCCATGTTTCAGAGCTTACTTAAGCTCTGCTAGAAGATTATAAAAACTTACACAATAGGAAAAACGAGTCATCATGACTGTTTGCCCAATTCACCCCCAAACTTGCCTCGAGAAATCTACGAAAGTTCCTTCTCATTTCAAGCAAGCAATGACAAAGCAACATAAACTTGACCAGCAGCCTTTTTGTGACAAATGCGCTTGCTAGGACAGGCCCCAGAATTGTCACGAACGTGTAAAGATTCCTTGGCAGAGACACCCTTGTGGAAAGAGTTCTGTACAATAATTTTTTTTAAAAAAAGTTGGGAAAGCACCATGTGAAAACAATTGTTCTTTTGAGAAAAATGTCATATGCAAGTGGGTTCCATAATATATGTAACAAAATGTTAGGGCCTAGCATGGTATTGTTGAAGATTTCAGCCGAGTCTTTCCATTCATCCTCCCTTCTAGTTTTCTAGAACAGTCATCATTCCATACCAAGATCCAGGTCTATCGAGCCTGTGTCCTGAGCACACTCCTGTACTGCAGCGAGTCCTGGACCCTTTGTGCCCGGCAGGAGAGGAAGCTGAACACCTTCCATATGCGTTGCCTACGACGGATTTTTGGTATCTCCTGGCAGGACAGAGTTCCAAATAGAGTAGTCCTAGAACGAGCTGGAATTTTCAGCATGCATACATTACTGAAACAGCGACGTCTACGCTGGCTTGGGCACGTTGTGAGAATGGCTGATGGTCGGATTCTAAAGGATCTCCTATATGGAGAATTAGTGCAGGGAAATCGCCCCAGAGGGAGACCACAGCTGCGATACAAGGATATCTGCAAGCGGGATCTGAAGGCCTTAGGAATAGACCTCAACAGATGGGAAACTCTGACATCTGATCGTTCAGCCTGGAGGCAGGCAGTACATCACGGCCTCTCCCAATTTGAAGAGACCCTTGTCCAGCAGGCTGAGGCAAAGAGGAAGTCACAAAGGAAGCAAAACCAGGGAGCTGGACAGGGGACAGATTGGATTTGTCTCCAGTGTGGAAGGGATTGTCACTCTCGAATTGGCCTCCTCAGCCACACTAGACGCTGTTCCAAGTCCTCCATACAGAGCACGATACCATAGTCTTTCGAGACTGAAGGATGCCTACTTACTTACATCATTCCATGACTCCAGAGCACACTCAGTCCGAAATCCTTCCTTCTGTTTTGTGTGTGTGTGTGTGTGTGTGTGTGTGTGTGTGCGTGCGTGTGTGTTTTAAAAACTATGGGTTTCTACCCAGCTTGCTAGTAACTTCCTCTTGGGTGTAGGCAACACAGTTTAATCAGCAAGCTGTCAGTCTCTTTTGGGGAACTATTCAGAGTGCTGGCTATAACCTATGAAGGTCCATGAGACTTGGGATCTGGCTGTTTGAGAGAATGTGTTCCCCGACACGAGACTGCCCAGGTTTTGATATCTTAAAAGAAGGCCCCTCGCTCCGTCCTACCAGCCTCAGAAACACATTGGTTGGGAATGTGAGAGGGCCATCTATCCACGTATGAACTTCTCCCTGAGTAGGAACCCTTGGACTATATGCTACCCTTGCTATAGAATATTGCTTTGCAAGGCAGAAGCCATGTGAGCAAAGAGACTTACGTTCTGCATGCAGAAAGTGTGCAGAGTGGAGGCATTCTTCTGGATGAGCTCAGCCAAACTGTTCTGCAGTTTGGCAGCCTTCAAACTGACCTTCTTCTTCAGGAGCCTGGTGATATGTTCTTGGACCAAATGGAGGTGAATTTTCTCCATGATAGCCTGTAGCAGAAGAAGCAAGCTCTTAATCCTCTGAGATCAGATATGTGGCAGAAAACAAACTAACCACCTATATTGTCAAGAGCTGTAAAAATACCACATCCATTACTTTCTAAACACACTCTACAGGTTTCTCTTATGGCCAAGTGGTTTCTATAGCCTTTAGCGAGATGATCCAGACGAATGGGAGGAGACGGGAAGAGCATTTCTTTCTGTCCAGGGCTACAGATTCTCAGGAATAATCTGTGTGAAGCTACATACTGGTTGTGGGAAGGGTCAGAATGCATGGCAGATGGAAAGAAGGGCAACTAAATAAGAATAGCTACAGCCCAAAGCGGCAGGATTTGGAAAACTCCTGGATCAGACAAATTTAAAAATAAATGAAAAAATAAATGTTGCAAATTTTAAAATTGGCCACTTTCAGTTAAAAAAAATCCATTCAGATGGAGTAATGGGACTCAGGAGTTGTTGGGGCACCCCAGGGTTCAGGAGGGGGCATGTACCACCCAAGGTATCTGGAAATTGCCCATCCGTGATCTAGGCTTATTGGCAGAGGCTTTCTGGGGTTTACTGGAAATGTCAAAGAGTGAATCTGGGACCTCTGCATGCAAAGGATGTGCTCTACTACAGAAATTATGTTTGCAGGTTATTCTTACTTAATAGAACATTCCAAATCTTCTACCTGGAGTGACTCATGTAGTTGCGATGGCTTAGGTGTTTTGGGAATTTTCATACACAAAACTAATTTTCCACATATGTCTATAAGCAGAAATGAAATGAAACCAGTCTCAGCCTAGCTGTCTCAAATTAGGATAAAGTTGGGAAATTCAAATAACTACTGTAATTGGATTGTAAAACAGCTTATTGTAAGGTTGTTTGGGAAGTGACAGAAATAATATACATTAAGAAGATTAGGATGACTGTAATCGTAAATGGGAATAAATATTCAGTAGCAACAATAACTCGCCCTATGAGCAAGTTCCGGCTGCTCCACAGTTGGCTGAGACAAATAACTTCACGGATTATTTTAAGAACACAAAAGTAGGAAATCCAGAGCAATGGCTTTCTCTTGCGAGTTTACATTGGCTTTTTGGAACAGATATTAAATGTCAGAATACCAACGGGATGGGAAATTACTCCAGTGATGAAACTGGAAGGGGACTCAAGGAGGTTCAGCCTCATCCCTTGCTTAGATTTTTGAATATGAAAATGTCAAGAACACAAGATGGAATACAAACAAAATGAAAGGCAAATAGCTGACTGGGCTGAACCAAGGACACCTGGTTCATCCTCAATCAAAATAGCTCATTCAGTCTTCTGATCCCTGCAATAGGACACATTACCTTTTGTTTCTATCTGTCTCAAGAGAGAATTTGCGCACTTGCAAACTGATCTTTGCAATGCACAAAATTTAAAACTTGGAAAACTGTTTCTTTATCACATGGACTGTTAAAAAGCAGAAGCACGACAGCTGGGTTGCCCACATCTTTGTAAGCCCGTCCTTTTGCATTTGCTCTGTGTGTGCACACGCACACACACGTGTGCTCTTCAGAAAGGGAAAAGATGCTAGAGGCATTTTGCACAAAACCACAAGAGAAGGGGGGGAAAGGGGGAGTTGGCTTTTTGATCTCACGTTGGAGGAGATATCTCTTATGGGAGCTTGAAAAGGCTTGACAGCTGACCACCCCTGGCTGAGACAATCTGCTTTGTCCCTAAAGCAGATATTGGTGTCAGTTCATCACGTTCCTAGCTCAGGAAGGGACGGCTGAGGAGCTCTCTTCTTTGAGGCACACAAAATTATCAGTAAAAATATCTATATCTGAGAATGGTGACTTCTGCTAACATCAAAAACAGAGGATCGGAAGGTTGATTCAAAGTGGAGAAGCCGGCGGATTGGAGGGGTGGTTTCCGTTCCCCTTTTCTAGCCTGCCAGCTTTTCTCTGAAATATGTTAGATGCACAAATTGTGGTGTGTGCCTGAAAGCCTCAAAGATCAAGCCTTTTAATCTCATTGCAGATATTAATAAGATGTCTTCTTTACGATCTTGGATACAGACAAAGTTATTTACCTTAACCCCTTAATCAGAGGTGGATTCAGAAGAAAACTAGACATTTCCTCGTTCAGCACCCATGCACTACAAAGACAAGCCGATGCTCATCTGTGCAATTAATCATTCTGTTTATGACCAGGATATAAGTAATCTGTACTTTTCAATGTTCATTACTTGCCATGATCACTTTGACATTTCTTTCTCTGTGCCTATATTAATCTTGTCTGTGTCCCCATCCCCACAATATATACTTGTATATCATCATTATCATAATCATCATCAGCAGCAGCATATGTCATCAACTCAATTTTGACTTATGATAACCCCTTTTCAGGGTTTCCCAGGTAGAGAATACTCAGATGTGTATTACCATCCCCTTCTGGGGTACTCTGGGACTATACAGCTTGCCCAAGGCCACACAGGCTGGCTCTACTTGCAGAGGTTTTGCAGTCTGATTCTCCGCAATGCCCCTGGATGCCCCCAGAAAGAGGGAGTGATAAACCACCTCTAAGTACTCTATGCCTGGAAAATCCTGGAAAGGATTGCCATAATTCAGAATTGACTTGATGGCACATGATTAATTAAAGCATCTAATTTGGGTTGATTTTTTTATTATTAGGGTTTTTGTTGTTGTTTGATTTAAAATTTAACATCTTTACAAAGTTTATTGTGCTTTCAGTGTCCATTTAGAAAACCACCCTTCAGAACCAAGAAAGTGGTACCCTTGCACTAAGAACCTTATAAGCATTAAATTTCCTCAAAACAAAATGCCACCATTTGCTGTTGAAAGCAGTTTGCAGGGGCCATGACATGTAGGGTTTGTGACATTTGCATTTGACCCAACAAGGGAGAAAAGCAGTGGTTATTTCAGAGAGATCTAGGTGTACGGTATGTACACTTACCCTATCTCTCCCTCTGGTAAAGAAATTGTTTGCAGGCTTTTGCAGTGGTTCAGAAATAAGCTATACCTCTCTGACCAGGGATAACAGAGAGAGAAAGAAAATATGGCTCCATGCTATGGAAGGCAACAACTTTTTTCACCAGCTTTCTTATCAACAACTGTCTCCATCTGCTGGCATTGATGCAAACAGAATCTGGGGTCAACCTAGAAGATACATTTAGCACATATTTGGAAGAATTGCTCCCTCAAACGGCAAGGGAGCTGTTTGCCACAGAATGTGATTTTCTTCACCCATGGATCTTGCATTTAACATGCTTTGGTTTTGTGACTGAGCCACTGGAAGTTAAACATTGGCTTAACTTCCCCATCTGCTTGCTGAGGCATCTTTTTCAGAGAAATAACGTCTAGTATGGCACAAAGTACTGGGTATGAAAAGCACAAATGCCTTTCTTTTTTTAAAAATGTGCTGCATCAGCTTACCTGATATAGAGGCTCTTTGAGAAACTTGAATGTAGAAACATGGTGGCTAGTGACTGCAATGATTTCATCCATGATGCCAGTACAGGAGAGCCATTTCTTCTGGGTAAATGTTTTAAAAAGAGGCTAGGAAAGAGCAATCAATCAATCAATCAATCAATCAATCAATCAATCAATCAATAAAGAGCAATCAATCAATCAATCAATCAATCAATCAATCAATCAATCAATCAATCAATCAATCAATCAATCAAAGCTTTTGGAAAGCAAGTTCTCACATATCCCTCCCTCCCTAACATTCTTACTCTCGCATACATATCAAACTAAAGAATCCAAAGTAACAAAAATGTGATCTATATTATATGATTCACAGTTGGGGGGGGGGGAGGAACCCCACAATGAATCAGCACAAACTTTTTTCTTGCCAGGCTCCGTCCATTACAGCATATGGCTGGCAGTAGAGAAGGGAATACAAGGTTGATTTTCTACAGCCCCTTATTCATTATATTTTATACATATTTTATATCATTGTTCAATGACATTTTGAGGCAATTAGAGATGTCTTTAAAATCTTCCTTCCATTCACTTCTTTTATCTCACCAATCAGTGTCTTTTTGGAAGGCATAATTTTGACATTTGTGAATTTTCATTAAGCATGAATTTGACCAAGTGGGGCAGCCACTTCAAGAAGCAGATGGTGAGAGCAGTGGTGGCATCAGTGGCAAAAATTGCCACTTCCTAGCTACAGTGGTGCCTCGCAAGACGACTTTAATTCATTCTATGAAAATCGTTGTCTTGTGAAAAAATCGTCTTGCGAGGTTCCCTATGCATCAGTTTAAAAAGAAAGTCTTGCGAAGCATCGGTCTAAAAAAAAAAAAAAGTCTCACGAAGCATGGTCATAGAAAAAAAAGTCTTGTGAGGCACCATAGTGATCACAAAAAACAATCGTCTTGTGGGTTTTTTGTCCCGCAAGGCAATCATCTAGCGAGGCACCACTGTATTCCTTTTCAACCCCCAATCATTACCTCATTCTCAGGAGATAAAGCTGCATCCCTTGTGTCTGCTAGTCTAGTCAGCTGTCCAGAGATGTGGTGGCAAATACATTCTCATTGTCAGCGCTGAACTTAGAGCAGACTCTCCACTTTCATAGGTGCGGTGAGGGGGCTTGTGTGCCATCCCATTTCTTTGTCTCAAGTAGCAAAATATCTTGCGCAAATTTAGCCTATCATTAGAATTACCTGTATCTGCTGAAACAAGTCTTGAAGGAGCACATCAAATCCAGTTTTCTGGATTTCATCAAGTGTGGTAAAAATCTTCATTTTGGTATCATTTTGTTCTGATGTTGCGTTTTCTTCTGTGAAGATGCTGGAAGAGCAACAAGAAATACACAATGATTTTGTTTGTTCTTCAGTTCTTTTAACAACCAATCCCTGCTCTATGCAAAGCAAAAGCTAAAAGCAAAGCGTGTTGCTTATATAGCTCCCCATAGCACTTAAAGCACTCTCTGGGCAGTATACAATTTAATTATGTAGGCTACATGCTGCGCGTGCGCGCACATACACAGAGCAAGCTGGCTACTCACTATACTGACTTTGGAAGGCTGGAAGACTGTGTGAACCTTCAGCCATCTACCTGGGATTGAACCCAGATCATAAGCAGAGTTTTGATGCGGTACTACAGTTTAATCACTCTGCCACGAGGCTCCACTGCTTCCAGCGGCTTCCAAAACACCATGGAACATCATCCCACAAAACTCCAAAACAATAAAGTAGAAAATAATACTATGACACTGACTACATGGGCTGTTCAGCCACTCTTTAGAGCACTGGTTCTTAACCTTGGGTTACTCAGGAGTTTTGGACTGCAACTCCCAGAAGCCTTCACCACCAGCTGTCCTGACTGGGGTTTCTGGGAGTTGCAGTTCAAAAACACCTGAGTAACAAAGGTTAAGAACCACTGCTTTAGAGGGCTGCAGGGAGGAGCTGGTCCACCCTTATGAAGCTTCCACATTATGTTTTGGGCAATCATCACAAATACACTGGGTTCTTACCGAAAACTCAAGCAACTGTTAAGGTTCGCAATGATTGTGGCCTCAAAATATCGACGCTGCTTGTTCTCCTTAATGAAAATGTCCAGTTCTTTCTTGTACCTAAAAATACGGTGCAAGTGAGAAATAACAATTAGCAAGACTGCATGGCCCAACACAATTTTCCAATTCATTTCTGGCATCCGCTTGTTCTCCTACCTTTGCAGAAAGGCTGAGAGTTCTATCAAAAGCAAGGCTGAAAGTTGTTTGCCCAGCTCCAGTGTAATGGCTTCAGCACGTTTTCGAGCACCGTAGATCACCTGAAACACAAAAAACACCAAAGAGTCAGCGCCTTTAGCCTTTCATACCCCAACACAACATTCTCTGAATGTTATTATCATCGCGTCTAATACTGAAGTCAAGTTCTTGATCTTGATCTACCCAGAAATAATGACTTCTGCATAACGACATCAGTTTAAAAAAAAGCAGGGCAGTGGAGAGAGTGAAGTAATTCCAAGGAAGAAGGTGTAAGATTTTTATGAAGAAAAGAAAAATGTTTTTAACATCTTAAATACCTGCAATAAATGGAGACATTTTAATTAACTTTTTTTTTGGTAAGAAAAAGGGTCTGTGCTTATTTTTAATTCAAAATATTTTTACTAAGTGTTTGTGCCACATTAAGTGACTTTCCATAGGTATTTAGAGAGCTTGTGAATTAAACAAGAATGAGCAGAATCTTATTAGCAAATGTGGAATGTAACTAACTGTTCAGTGGGCAAAGCAAGAGATCAGTCTACTGACCGTCATGGGGTTTCCCCCTGTGTAAGGAAGTAGCGAATATCCTCTTCCATAAATACCCAAAACAAAAGAACAATGTATGCAGCTGGAAGGGATCATATGGATGACTGAGAGTCCAGTTCCTGTAAAGGAGGCACGGCGGGGAATTGAACTCCCAACTTCTGGCTCTGCAGCCAGTTTATGCCCATGGCAAAAATGAATAGGATTCTGGCCAAAGTTTTTTTTAAAGACTCAAACAGCTCCATATACCCACACACATGTGGCATATAAAGCAGGCAAACTGAGTCCGTATACAGTGGTGCCTCGACTTACGAACTTAATTGGTTCCGGAAGATGGTCGTAACTCGAAAGGGTCATAAGTTGGGATGTTCGTAAGTCGAGGCACCACTAGTATAAGCCTTCCTGGCCCTTAAGATCTTCAAAGGAGCCCTTAGTGCCATTGCCATCACAGGCAGGTCTGATGGGGACAGGAGAGGAAGCCTTTTCTGTGGCCGCTCCCAGACTGCTGAATGCCCTCCCTCTGGAGGTTAGGTGGGCCTTTGCCTTTTTATCCTTCCACCAACAGCTGAACACCCACCTTGTTAGGCAGGCTTTTAATAATCATAACTCAGTCCCTGATGCTTTTTCTCCTCTCTCTCTCTCTCTCTTTTTGCTTTTCTAAGTTTGCTGTCAACGTTTTAAATTCCTCAATGGATTTTTTAAAAAAAATATTTGTAGTTTAATTTAACTCCTTCTGTGTTTTCAGTATTACTTGTTTTAACATTGTGAGCCCCCTTGGGTCCCATCCCTGGGGAAAAAAGTGGCTTGCAAATGATGCTAAATAAATAAATAAATAGTACATTTTGTTACCTGTATGACATCTATTGGCAGTTCACTGTGGAAATGACCATTGAGTTTCTCTGGTTCCGACCTTTGCATCCACTTTGCCGCTTCGACTTTGAGACACTCGGCCAGCCAATGTTTAACAGAATCCTTTTTAAGATAAGGAGAGAAAGCCCCACAACATAGATTAGTGGCTGTCCTGCATGCCAGAGGTCCCAGGTTTCAACTCCATGAACCAGATCATCCCAGTTCGTCCCAGTTCATCAAGGTGGCAGGCAGCACTGGGGCTACTGCTCCCCTTCCTGCCTCCTCTGGTTCAAACAGCCACTCACCAGGCCCAGCTTGCTTGCTTTTCCCACCTCCTCAGCTGATCTCCCAATTACTGGCAAGCGCACAGACGTCTCTGCCCCACCCTTTCATCTGAGTGGCAGATCAGCCAAGAGGGCGGGGCAGAGAAGCCTGAGCTCTTGCCGGGATCTGAAGATCCGTCGAGGAAGTGCTGGAAGCTAGCACCTGAGTGGCTGATTGAGCCAGAGGAGGCAGGAAGGAGCGCATCATCATCATCATCATCATCATCATCTTCATCATCATCATCATCATCATCATCATCATCAGTGCTGCCACCTTTACGAACTGAGATGATTCAGTTCATGCACATCTCTGCTCTATACCTTTTAACTAGTTTCTATCACTTGCTGTCATATGAAACTGTCCCATTAGCAAGTTCAGCTTCAGAGTTTCTCCTCCAGATGCCCAAGTGCATTTCAAAGCTTAGAAAAGTGGTAAACATGGATACGACATTTTACCAGTGGCGATGGTGCCCCTTTGAGGGAACATACTTTTTCTCATCCAGCAGCTATTTTATTAAGTTTCAGTCATGAGGTCATTGCTAGGCCATGTTTTATTTGCTTATAGTTTCATATAAAAAACAACATAATTGTGGGTTTGAGACCTGTTTGCTTTTTTGCTGCTCATGCTTTTTTATCTGTTGTTTTAATTGGCTAAGCATTGGTTTATCCTTCCTTCTGATTTTATTTTTCTTATCTCTTCTTTTCTTTATTGTTTGGTTTTATAGCTGTGGAAAATCTCAGATGGAAAGGAGGGGTAGAAAGATAGCAGGCCACAAGCCCTGTCCCCCAAGCTATTAACATCTATTTGTTATTGCTGAGAGAGAGAAAAAATTAACAAAGAATGTTCCGAGATGCCCTTTGGACATCCTTATTTGGAAGACGTTCCTGTGTGGCTGAGAGAAAGTTGGCAAATCTCAAACACTTCTTCTGGAGCTGAAATGTGGGTTGTGCAAGATTTGTCCATAAACTTGCACAATCCTGGTACTTCCCAAAATCATTTCAGAGTCTTCTCCTTCCTTACATTTGGCATCTGTCATAAAGACTTTTGCTTTTAAAAGTAGAAACACTGGTCTCAAGAAGGAGAAGCAAAAGCCTATGAGAAAAATGGCAAATCCGGAGTCACTTCAGTAGGATTTTGGCATCTGTCATAAAGACTTTTGCTTTTAGAAGTAGAAACATCGGTTTCAAGGAGAAGCAAAAGACTATGAGAAAAATGGCAAATTGGGAGTCACTTCAGTAGGATTGTGCGTGTTCTGTGCTGTCACGTTGGAGCAGATTTAGCAACCCTAAGAGGGCTTAAAAGGTAAGTGAAATATTTAAGGAGTGGTTTTACCACTTCTGCACACACCCAGTTTCCATGTCTAAATGGGGATTTGAACCCTGTTCTCCAGAGTCCTAGTCTGTCATTCTAGCCACTACACCACACTGGGAATCCTCTCAGTAGGATTGCTTCTACATGAACATACAGGCTACAATCCGCAACACACTTACGGGTGCTTAAGCTATGCCTAATACAACAGAATCATGCTAAAAGAATACTGTGGGGATAATCTGCAATAAACATATGAAATTCATCTGTCTGGTCCACTATTGTCTGCTACAACAGGCAACAGTCCATCTGAAGCCCAGGAAGAGGATTTGCTGCTGGATACACTGCTTTTTTTTTAACATCACATGCGATTCGATTGGATCTGAGGCCTCCTGCATGTTGATCTCTGACCCTGAAACAGAACTTTCCATTAAGAATAAGCAAATGTTTCATCAAGGACATGAACACCCGGCTTCAGATCAAAATCAAAAGCTCTCCATAAGAAGTAATGAGGAAGCCTATTGGCTCTAGACTAGCATTCTTCCCCCATAAGGTCCAACCAGGTGCCTTTGTGAGGTTCAGAAGGACATAAAGAAAATATTACCTCCCTGTTTGTGTCCCACAAAATAAACAACCTTGAGAGGCATGCTGCCTCTGCTAGAGGTTATAATACATAGCTATCCTGACCAACAGCCACTATAGTGGTGTGTTTCATTGTTCCAGGGCATTCTGGGAAATTTAAATGGCAGTGTGCACTGAGGGGTTTCCTCATTTGCTCTAGGAGAGCAGATGATGAATCTGGGTCTCAAGTGATAGAAATCCTCTTTCATGTACATTCCAAAATGTAAACTAGATTAAATTTGTGTTTAGCTTTCAACTAAGGACCACGAGACGTCTTTGTTCCATTATATTTACATGAATCTCTTATAAATATTGTGAAAAGTCACTTGATGGGACTAATAGATAAACTCACATTTGAGAACGACGACAAAAATGGCAAAACTGAGGTGCAAAAAACAAATAAGGCTCTTACCACTTCATTAGCCTGGTACGTGGCTTCAAGTTGTTTGATCTGTATGGATGGCAAGAGGCCTTCAAGAATGGTGCTGTCCAGTACTTTCTCTAAGACAGGGTGCTGTCTGATTTTGCTGAAATGGCCCAGAAGAAGATCACAATTTGGTTCAAGATTATCACCAACAACCACAATGTGTAATTGTGGCTTTACCCCTCACTGTTTGTCTATGTAGGGTAGAACATGATGGGAATTACAGGACAAAACATTGTTCAGCTGAAGGAGAATTCTGGCATCCCACAGTTATTCACCCCTGGTTTATACTTCTTCGACATTCTTATTCCTGTTTCCCAAATCCCTAACTGAAAGCAGATGGGGAAGTAAGCTAACTGTAAAACCAGAAGAATATCCAATGCAAGAACCACCCAGATCTTATTTCCAGCATTTGACAGTACTGTTCACAGACTTAAAACAAATAGTTGACACTGGCAAATTCTTTCAAGGGAATTCAAACCCAGTGTTTTGCATTAGCTGTTAAAACTGTGGTGGGAAAAAGATTTAAAAGGAATTTTAAAAACAGCTAGGTAGAATTGGTTTTCAATAGCAAGAAATCTGACAGAGGTCAGTTGAAGGAGATGGCAACCACAACTTTTCTAATGCCGGGTGCGTGTGTGTGAGAGAGATGGTTTTGAGTACCCATATCTTGCTGTTGTTCTGGTTGCTGAAACAGCCATTGAAGTGTGGCAAGCTTAAGTTTGCAAATTTTCAAATGTGCCATGAAGCTGTCAGGCTTGGCATAATGACTCCCATTAGAATCAGAATAGTCAGAATCATTTTCATCCTCAAGAATTCAAATGTACATCAACATAACACAGAATAATCACTGGAACATCCCAACACCTCATTCTCAGGCTTTCTGTCCATCCAGTTCAGTGATATTTACCAAGGATGAAGGCATAACTCAGTGGCAGAGGACATGCTCTACAAGCAGAAGGTCCCATGTATAAGCCCTGGGGTGTCCCAGAAGGACTGGGAATGAAGGCTGCCTGAAATACTGGAGAGCGGCTGCCACTCAGTGTCAATGATACTGGGCTAAATGGAGCAATGATCTGTTCAATACAAGGCGTCTACCTAATTTTTAAGAATGGGACCTCTTATATTATTTTTCCTTTTGGTGGAAAGAGCTGTAGGTCAGTAATTGAGAACATGCTTAAGAACCAGAAGGTCCCAATTTCAATTGTTGGCTTCTTCAGTTAAGGGGATAAAACTGTTTGCTATGTTGGAGAGTTGCTGCCAACGAGCAATATTGGGGCTAGATTAGGGTTGCCAGACGTCAGGCAAAAAAAGGACATGTCCTCCTTTTTAGCCTTAGGTCCTCCATCTGGCAGGCAAAGATAAAAACCTTTAAAATGTCAGGCTTTTGTATATTTTATGTTATAATTTTGGATGGGAGGGGCAGAGGTGGAAGGACCCCCTCCTTTCCCCTGTGTTTCCCTGCCCCCTGTTACCTGCCGCCAGCGCTGGAGCGCAGCCCTCGCCCCCTCCCGCCACTGCAGCGGCTGCTTGGTGATCCCCCGTGCCCGCCCAGCCCATGTGGAGCCTAGAAAGGCAGTGCGAGTGGAGCACTGCCCGCTGAGCCAGGCAGGAGCAAGCAGTGCCCGAGCACATTGATGGGAAGGCTAGTGCCCAGACTGTGTGTGTTCAAAGTCCCTTTTGGGGACTCCAACTCCCACACTCCCCACCCTTGAACTTATGACCCTTGGGGGAGGGGAGGCCGCCTCATTCAGTTTTGCCCTGCGCCGCTTTCCCTCTGCCTGCGCTGGAGCCTTGTTTGGGGGTTCAGATTAGCAAGGTTGCCTCTGAGCCCGTGCAGAGTGCAAGGGACCGGGGGATCCCACAGCCAGGCCGGGGTGGGTTCGGATAAAATTGACTGTTTAAATAATGTTTTGGTGTATTTTGAAAAGAAGCCTACATTGAATTTATTTTTATTTTTTGACATGACTGTTTCTTGGTCAGCTCACCAAGAGACATTTATTGTCAGCTATTGTAAGAAAATTGTATTGATTTAATCCGGAACAATTCAAATGAAACATTCAATACGTCCTCCTCTGTCCTCTTTTTTGTCTTTCTATGATCTCTTTTTGGTACCCATTTATCTGGCGACCCTAGGCTAGATAGACGAACAGATTGAGATGATTTAACATAGGCTGTGCTCCTGTCAGGGACAGACAAATCTGTTCCACTTGGTTATAGGATTACACCTTAAAACATAGAAGAGCTATTGATAGTCAGCATAGGTCAGGGGTCAGGAACTTGTGGCTTTCCAGCAATTCCCACCACCCTGAACATGGACAGCTTGTTGTGAAAGCTGATGAAGTTGCAGTCTAATCATATCTGGAGGACCACCAATTACCGGTAAGATGAAATTAGGAGACCCATAACCAGCAGTACACCACCCCGACTCTCCTAGAAAGGAAGTTAAACAAGGAATCTCTAACAAGGCCGAGGGCACTTGAAAGACCTTATGTGGCAGGAGACCGTGGCCAGCTATTGCACCAGTGCAGTTCTTGGCCAGTTTACTAGCACCTTGCCACGTGCTCTGGATGAAGACTTAACCTGCTTCTAGTCTGACTACTGTGTTTGTTTGAGGCAGATGTTTTGTGGTATTGTTGAAATGGGAGAGAGCCGATTATCACCTAGTTCAAAGAACTGAGCCATGCTATGTGTAGACTCACCCTTCTTAGCTGGCAAGATCTGCAGTAATACAAGAGCTTGGAAAAGTTACTTTTTTTGGACTACAACTCCCCAAATCCCCCAGTCTGCTTAGCTAAACTTTGAGCAAGACACAGAGGCAGGGCAAAAGACTTCTACTTACTTGGGATAAATATCCTGTACCCATGTGAGGAGGAGATAGGTGTCCTGGTTGCCCAGCTCAAACTGAGCAATCATCTCCAGCTGAGAGGAGAAGCAGTGGTGGTAGAACTTGGCGTAAGTGCTGCAAACTTGAAAATCATCAGGGTAATGAGGTTTAATGGATTGCACCACTGTGACCAGATCCTCTTTCATAGTCTTCCCCATGTGCAAGAAGCTGTGAGCTGCGGTAGAGATGCTCTCATTCCCAACAGATGGAAGCACTGTCATTCGCTTAGTTACAGATACTTCCACTGCAGTCCTCCAGGCCTCTTTCCAGTTTCTGGGGTGGGAACACACAGCTGTTTCACATGTTTTTTCTTTCAATCCAAATCTCTCATCCTCCTTCACCTGCTCTGTAAGTGCTCTGATTGCATTCTGCAACAATTCTGGCTGAGATAGCGCTAAGGTGATAGAGGACTGTATGATGGCAAGGACCTCTTGCTTTAAAAGTCCAAAGAGATCTTCCATTTCATTCTGATCATCCATCTTTTTCTCTTCACTTTTGTCATCCGAGTCACAGTTATATACCTTTTCCATGAGAAGGAGATGCTGACTGGCCTCAGCAAATTTTTGATGCTTAATTAGTTCTCTGATTTGATCAGCTGTTAAATCAAAAGATATTGGTCCTCAATACAATAGCAATCAAAATAGTATTCATTCATTCATTCATTCATTCATTCATTCATTCATATTATACCCCTCTGCTGCAGGGGGTATGGAAATGTTACTAAAATCACAAGTGAAACAGGAAGACAAGACTTACCCTAGCACATAAAAGTGTGTAATGATAGCAATAGGCAAATGTCCTCGGTTAGGGAATTTTAGAACCAAGGAGTCACCACAAAGAAGGCCTTCTTCCAAGTAGTTATCTATCTTTGAAGGTGGAAGGACATGGACGAGTAACTGATAAGAGGATTGAGCAGTTGCTTAGGTTTGTCTCTAGAAATGCTCCCCCCCATTATATTGTTTCATATCCAGGCCATATCCAGGCTGTTATATTGTTTCATATCCAGGCCAAAGAACAACTCAAACTCTTTATTTGATGACATTTAAGCCAGTCCTAATAAAGATAATAGCTTGGGTTTACTGTATTTGTTTCTCTTAATCTTAATCTTAGAATTGCAGAGCTGGAAGAGACTCAATGGGCCATCAAATCCAGCCCCTGTCAGTGAGGCACAGTAGAGAAATTGAGAATTTAGATACCCTGGACTACCAGAAAGACAAACAAATGGGTCCTGGATCAAATCAAGCCTGGATTATCTCTGGATTAATCCCGTAACAGGCCATTTTTGTTCCATTTTGTTTTTTTTCTGGTCTGTAAGTCAAATCTCAGTCTGCAAGTCAAATCTAAATTTTGCGACCAGAGAACTCTGTAACTCAAAAAGTCTGTAAGTCAAGCTGTCTGTAAGTCAAGGGTCCACTGTAACTGATAAAAGGACTGAGCAGTTGCTTAGGTTTGTCTCTAGAAATGCTCTCCCCCCCCCCTTATATTGTTTCATGTCCAGGCCATATCCAGGCTGTTATATTATTTCATATCCAGGCCAAAGAACAACTCAAACTCTTTATTTCATGACATTTAAGCCAGTCCTAATAAAGATAATAGCTTGGGTTTACTGTATTTGTTTCTCTTAATCTTAATCTTAGAATTGCAGAGCTGGAAGAGACTCAATGGGTCATCAAGTCCAGCCCCTGTCAGTGAGGCACAGTAGAGAAATTGAGAATTTAGATACCCTGGACTACCAGAAAGACAAACAAATGGGTCCTGGATCAAATCAAGCCTGGATTACCTCTGGAGGCAAAAATGCTGAAACTGAGCCTGTCTTACTTTGGGCACATCATGAGAAGGCAGGATTCCCAAGAAGAGACAATAATGCTGGGAAAGACTGAAGGCAGCAGGAAAAGAAGACCAAATACAGTATGAGATGGACGGACTTCCTAAAAGAGACCATGGGCTTGAGTCCGCAACAGCTGATCAGGGCAGCTGAGGACAGGACATTTTTGAGAATGCTCATTCATAGGGTTGCCATGAGTTGGAGGCACCTCGATGACACATAACAACAGATTTCAGTTGGACACTAGAAGAAATATCTTGATGGTAAAGACTTTGTCAATGGGACTAATTACTTAGAAGGTTAGTGGATTCTCACTGGCTAGAGACCTACAGTAGAAGCAGAGGTTGGACTCGGTCACAGACTTCCTGGAAAGAACAAGGGATTAGATCAGATGGCCTACAAGATCTGCACCAACTCGATTCTATGATCTTAGTCAGAGGAGGACTTAGTCAGCAAGCTCACCCCGTCAGATCTTGAGAGTAACGAGTTATACGTAAGTTACCCACAACGAGTTACTTTACCAGGTAAAAAGAGTAGAAAGAAGTTCTACATGACCAGAACAAACTAACTGGTGGACAGAGTAACATCTAGTTAATTTCAAAAATTACTTCTAAGGCATTCTTAGAAACATTTGGCTCACCTTTTATATACCATTCACATCAATATTACAGTTTTTACTGCAGAAAGCTAATGGAAAACTAAAAAGTCATGGAATGATAAAGAATAAGGGATCTGGACACCACTGTAACAAATAACAACAATGGGTTACTTTTCAAACGCTGTAAAAAGTAGAAGTGAAAATCAGATGTCAACGTTGCTTTCAAAAAGTAATTCCCCAAATTCTGAACTGGGACACACTCTCCTTCTGTATCCTCCCACTGTACCTGTAACTGGCCGGCGCTCTTCCTTTAGAAGGTCCTTCTCTTTGTTTTTCTCTTTGCTCTTCACACCTGCCATGTCAAAGAGGGCGTGGGCAATTTTTTTCCCTAGCCATTTCTGCTTCTTTTCCTCCGGGCTGCAAGGAGATCCTGTTCTGACCTACAGCAAAGGAGAGCCCGCGGGAGAGCCCGCGGGAGCCGAATCTCGTCGGCCCTCTCCGGTCTGCCGGTTGCCTTTGGTTTGAACCTCTTCTGTTGAGGATTCGAGCGACACAGAGTCCACGTCTGATTCAGAGGATGATGAGGACTTGACGGCCTTCTTGCCCTTTGCTTTGGGTTTTGGGGGAGCTTTTGGAGGGCTGCTGTAGAAGAAGGGCATTGCTTTTATCATCTTCGTTCTCTGAGCCTGCAAATCGTATTAAGAACATATCAAGCGCTGGGATCCATACTCAGTAAACAACAAGACAAATAATACAGTAGAGGAACAGAGGAAAAATTAATTAAGGAAAGCAATGCCACAAGTTGGCTCAATAATCTGCAAAAGGCTCCCCCCCCCACACACACATTAAGGCTTAAATAATGATATATAGCCACTTATAGATTCCATATTCTAATGGGGACTCACGGTTATACCGGTTTCCTCATCATCTTTAATCAGAGACAAGTTCTATGGAGTTCAGTGGGCATATTCTTTGGCAAAAACGCAACTAAGATTGCAGCCTGTGTTGACTGATCAGTTATATTAACTTTTTTTTTTAAAAAAGGTGACCCAATTAATTAAAAAAAACCCTCAGGCCATGCCTTTTAATGCCGTTTTTAGTGGAAGTAAAACTGCCAGCCTTCCACAATTCGGATCCATCCTGATCATTTTAAACTTCATATTCCATCATCTCCAGACAACAAGGCATTGTTCAGGGATAATGGGAACTGCGCTGTTTTTATTTATTTTTAAATCTGACATAGTAATTCTCACATAAATGATACAGTAAAAATACATCTAAGACCAGGGTTCAGATCCGAACGTGTAGCTCATATTTTTTCACATGGAATTTTTTTCTTTTTCAACTGAAGGGTTAACTTTGACTACAACTTTTTCCTTTGGAAGCTTATAGATTTCTCAATAGCCCTCCCTGTTTATGTTGTTCAAAGGCTGCACAGCACATACGTATGTGCATGACAACTAATCCCTACCTGCACAGTCACACTTAACCACATCATTCATATCACGAAGTTTATATGTCAACAAAAGCTACATGTTTCATTCATGGCATAAATCTTTCCAACATGAACCAAGAAGAAGAAACGTAAACTATCAGGCTTTCTTTCATTTCTGTGGAGTTTTCAAAAGTTACTTTTTCGAAAAACTACTTTTACAATCCTCCATGCTGGAGGAGTTTTAGAGGAAAAAAACTCCATTGATTTCCCTTTATTTTTGTTCCCCCCCTGGGCTAATTTATGATATAGAATTATTAAAACTGCACATGTTCCACATAACTGTGATTTAATCTCCCTGGAGAAAAAAATCTGAATTTTAAAAAAGAAATATTACATCTCATGAGCTGTTTCACACCTTTAAAAAAAATAGATATAAGGATTTCAGTTCTTAATTCAATTATTATCACAGCTATTTAGAGGCTAAGGCAGCTTAGGTCAAAATGAAATTGATAAAATAATAAGAAGAATTTATATGAACATAGAAAAATTAACAGGCTTTTTCCCGCAAATGGGCCTGGAAGCAGGAGAGGAGTCCACCTGAACAATCCTTGAGGTCATCTTCTCTGCTTCTATATCTGCTGAAATCCAACACATCAACATTTTCTAAGCCATTTGGATATGTGTTCACTACATTTCCCATCCCCCTAGCCAGAAGATCAGTGGCAGCTGGGGACGATGACTTCGCCAGTCCAACATGTTGGTGGGCACTCGGCTAGGAAACACTGTCCCTGATTATGCCTCTCTCTAGCATTCTTCTTTGTAATCATTTCTCCGTTTTATTTTTCTCTGACTGACATTTATAGATGTCTGAGGATGGCTCACGTCTTCTAGCTCTTCACAAACACAAACAATAATTATAGAGAGAAGGGTTTGTTCTGGAGTTCAGAAAGAAACTCAACCAGGACCTAAAAACAACCGTGAATTGAATTCAATTCTTCAGACAACCTCTGATTTATGAATGTGGGATGCTATATCCAAAATTAAAGAAAAATGGTCCAATATTGCTGCACAATATTGTGCCCACATTGATAGTAGGAAAAAAAGGATGGCAAGCTTTACATAGCAAAGGACAGCCTGAATATTGACAACACCAGTGGCAGCAATCAAGATGGTCTACGCATAGGCTCCCAAACCCTTTTGCCCCGTAGACCACTTGCCGACTTATTTGTTTTCCGTAGAAAACATATCCCCTGCCTACCGATGTGTGTGCCTGTATAGCTCAGTAATGAGAAATGACAAAATGTCGTTGATCCCATTTACAACACACTGGCATTTGCCATAAAATTTTACCAATAATTTTACGAACTTACACTTGAATGTAGCAGACCACAATACAGATAGTACATAGTACCTAATTAAATAATATTATGAAATATTATGTACGCAGAATCTGTGTTTGGTGTAATTACAGATTGCCTAAATATTTATTATGATCTGCCTAATGGGATCTGCTCACATAGACACCCATTTACATCTCGTGCACCCCCATTTTTTTCTCCCTGCAACTTACACTTGAATGTAGCAGACCACAATACAGATAGTACATAGTACCTAATTAAATAATATTATGAAATATTATGTACGCAGAATCTGTGTTTGGTGTAATTACAGATTGCCTAAATATTTATTATGATCTGCCTAATGGGATCTGCTCACATAGACACCCATTTACATCTCGTGCACCCCCCTTTTTTTCTCCCTGCCAGTCAAAATAGACCCCTGGGGGTCCATATAGACTACTTTGGGAACCTATGGTCTACAGAATATCCTTTTGTGCTCATTGACATTCACAAACTGATATCAAGCAAGGGGAAATCCCAGAAACTAACTCCTTTTTTTCACCAGTTAAGCACTTTTCACCCAAACACAAAGCTATTGTCAGGACTGTTTTTTGATGTTTTAGGGTCACTTGTTTCTGCATGGGGGAGGGGGACCACTTTATTTTTTAAAAAAATCAAACTTGGAAACCTTTTGCCCAAACTTCCCTAACTTCGACACAGAGCAAGAGCAGATTGCCTGCTATAACTGTGCATTAATCCAAAATCCAGTTTCAAAGTTATGATTTATTGGGTTGGCCTCATTTTTGGAATTGCCTCACAGAATATCAAATTGCTCTGCCAGCACACGAACACTGCTGCACTCTCATGCAGCAATAATTCTGGTGACCATTTGTTATTCTCAATCCCATGCTGCACAAAGTGACAGGAAGATCTTGTGAGTTTTCTCTACAAACACTTGATGTCTCTGGGTGTAAATCCACACAAAAAACAACAATGAATGTCAAGCTGACTGCACTTATGCCAAAAGAACTTTTGCTACTAATTTTAGGTGAGATCCAGCTTTATTCTTTAGAGTATTCTGACTGAGGTGACGATATTATACAGTTCCATGAGCCAAAAGTATGAATCAGAAACACTGGTGTCACTTATGGTCAGAACTATCACCAGACGTGATTCAAAATAAGACTGAAGGGGCAGAAGGACAGCTCTGTTTATTTTCATGGTGACAAGGAAATGGAAACCTTTGACCGTCATGAATCCCAAGAGAGGGATACATCTCTTAATTTGGCACTAATTACAGCCCAGAAACAATGGTTTTCTAATTGTGCCACTCCCGTGTTTAAAATGTACCCAAAGAAATATGGGAAAGGGATGTATGATTTGAAGTGCTTCCTTTCTCAAAACTGCATTCTAGAATTTCCATACTGGTTACACTTTTTTGTTTGTAGGGAGAAGAGTCGCCTTGGTATGTATTTTAACTCGATTTTTAATTTATTTTATATTGATTTCTCTATGGACCCTTTTAAAGCAGGGTGGGCGGGTTTGTTTTAAATCAAGATCAACAGGTAAAAAAACACCTTGTTAGTTTACAATAGCCACTTCTATCCTATAGATAGACAATTATCCATGGCTAAGTCCAAATTGACACAATGGGTAGACATGTAGAATATTACACGTCTACATGATATAGGAATGTGTATTCTTCAGAATGATTTGCCTTTCAATTTCATGGGTGTTTTCCTTTTGCCTGTAACACTCCTGCCTTATCTCCACTATCCCTCCCCCTCCAAAATTTCCCCTTATGCAATCCAAGTGGTTTTGTTCAGAGACAGAGAACAAAGTTTTTGCTAAGCCAAGCCTAGCAATAAATTTCCAGTGTACAGGATAGGGGTGGGAAGGGTAGCTGAACCAGACTATCGAAGCAAATATCCTAAAGATGAACAATTTTTTTTCCAGCAGAAAAATTTATGGATCACAGCCTTCTTCATCAGATGCACAGTACTGTATTGCCTTAATTTACAGATTATGATGCCTATGGCTGGCTGGGTGGAGAATGTCATTCACTGGGCCAGAGCAAGTTGGAATGTAAAAAGTGCAAAGGTGGATTCACTACCTTAATATTGGTCCCTAACCTACAAGGGTTGGGTGGTAACACAGACCTTTACGGATCAGCAAGCTTCTTAAGGGTATCAGCAGAAATTTAGGAAAGTGGACAAAGTCTATTAATTACACCTACGGATTGCTGACTTGACTGTAATCCGTATTGACCAATCCTTCTAGTCAAACTGATGAGATGGTTTGAATCATCAGTGGGGAAAGAAGGTTATATATTAGTCCGAGTTGTGAAATGTTCTACATAGCTTTGCCCCTCTGGTTATAATTGTGATTAACAACTGGAGTGGCATTTATTTTCTGTCCTGTCCCCAAAGAAAACAATTCCATAGATAAACAAATTTTAAAAACACATTAATATCAAAATAATAATAATTTCTTTTAAAGAAAGCAGGCATTTCAAGCATTTTATAAAAGATTTAAACCATTCACAGTTCTCCTAATGAGCTCCCTTGCCAGACTGTAAATACTTTGAAGCCTGGCTTCATTTGATGGAACTTACTGCATCTCCTTCCCAGTCCCTGAATTTTGGGGGTTACTTGGGGGGCCAATGTTGTAGGATCCTTCTTGGGGAAAGACAGGGTGGTAGTGGCCTGTAGATGTCTTTTGCATTAGAATTCTACAAAAACTGTACTTTGGTTCAGAGGGTTCTATGCCTATATTCCTGAAGCTAGTGTCCTCCAGATGTGTTGGACTACATATCCCAATCACCAGTAGTACCCTGGCTTACCTGTAGTTTCAAAAAGAGCAGCTTTTCTAAGCTATGGCATATGGATAGGATGGTGCTGATATCATAGTAAAATGGATGTATAGTACTGTACAATTTATTGGTAGGAACCTGTGATCTTCCAGACACTGTAGGACTATAATTCCTATCACCCACCCCCATTAGTTGTGCTGACTAGGGATTATGGAAGTTGTAGTCGAATAACAGTTGCAGTCAGAAGTTGTTCAACCTGATTTGCAGCAGTTAATTTACTATTTATTTATTTAAATTTTTTTATATGCTGCCTTTCTCTGCATAGAGGATCCAAGTTTTGTTAAGTTTTGCTTCTCAGGAAGATGCAGTCTGTCATACCTGAGTTTTGTCCATACTTTTATTACTTTGTTAGAGTAGAAAATCCAGATCTTCCAACAATTATTAGGTGTGCTTCTCTTTTGAGGCTAAAAACTTCCAAGGCATCTGAAGCTTCTTGTATTGAACTGCCACTAGCAAAGTGAGGATTCCCTATATGGTGTAGTGGAGAGATTGATGGACTAAGACTCTGGTAGACCAGGGTTCAAATCTCCACTTGGCCATGGAAACTCACTCACTAGGGGAGGGGAATTGGTAAAACCCATCCAGAAATTTCTCACTTACCTTAGAAGCACCACTAGGATCACTATAAACTGCTTTTGACTTGACAGCACAGAACACACATATTTTCTAGCAATGTAACAGGAGAAATGTTCAACTCTTTCCAGAATAATAAGAAACTACGATCTAACCTCTTCCTTACAATGTGGCTCCCCACACCCCAACAGGTTTTACCAGCGCCAGGCTTTTTAAATCTACCAGATTTTTGTTTCCCGGACTTGCAGCAAAGTGTAAGCACAGATTATAGCTGTCATGTTC